GAGGCCCCAACTGTCTTTTTTTAAAAATGTGAAACCTTCTCGGGGGTCCCAATGTACTTTTTTAAAAATGTAAAACCTTCTCGGGGTTGCCAAATTTACTTTTTTTTTGAGAATGTAAAACCTTCTCGGGGTTCCCAATTGTCTTTTTTAAAAATGTAAAACCTTCTCGGGGATCCCAATGTACTTTTTTAAAAATGTAAAACCTTCTCGGTGTTGCCAAATTTACTTTTTTTTTTTAAGAATGTAAAACCTTCTCGGGGTTCCCAACTGTCTTTTTTAAAAATGTAAAACCTTCTCGAGGGTCCCGAATGTACTATTTTTAAGAATGTGAAACCTTCTCGGGGGCCCCAACTGTCTTTTTTTTTAAATATGAAACCTTTTCGGGGGTCCCAATGTACTTTTTTAAAAATGTAAAACCTTCTCGGGGGTCCCAAATGTATTTTTTTTTAAGAATGTATAACCTTCTCGGGGGTGCCAATGTACTTTTTTAAAAACGTAAAACCTTCTCGGGGGTCCCGAATGTACTATTTTTAAAAATGTGAAACCTTCTCGGAGGCCCCAACTGTCTTTTTTTAAAAATGTGAAACCTTCTCGGAGGCCCCAACTGTCTTTTTTTAAAAATGTGAAACCTTCTCGGGGGTCCCAATGTACTTTTTTAAAAATGTAAAACCTTCTCGGGGTTGCCAAATTTACTTTTTTTTTGAGAATGTAAAACCTTCTCGGGGTTCCCAATTGTCATTTTTAAAAATGTAAAACCTTCTCGGGGATCCCAATGTACTTTTTTAAAAATGTGAAACCTTCTCGGGGTTGCCAAATTTACTTTTTTTTTTAAGAATGTAAAACCTTCTCGGGGTTCCCAACTGTCTTTTTTAAAAATGTAAAACCTTCTCGGGGGTCCCGAATGTACTATTTTTAAGAATGTGAAACATTCTCGGGGGCCCCAACTGTCTTTTTTTTTTAATATGAAACCTTCTCGGGGGTCCCAATGTACTTTTTTAAAAATGTAAAATCTAGAGAGCGCCAAATGTCTTTTTCTAAGAAAGTGAAACTTGGGAGTTCGCAAATGTTATTATTTTTTTTAATGTAAAAGCTTCTCGAGGACGCCAAATGTCTTTTTAAATAATGTAAAACCTTATCGGGGTTCCCGAATGTACTATTCTTAAGAATGTGAAGCCTTCTCGGGGGCCCCACGCCCCCAACTGTCTTTTTTTAAAAATGTGAAACCTTCTCGGTGGTCCAAATGTACTTTTTTTAAAATGTAAAACCTTCTCGGGGGTTCCAAATGTATTTTTTTTTAAGAATGTAAAACCTTCTCGGGGGTCCCAAATGTATTTTTTTTATGAATGTATAACCTTCTCGGGGATCCCAATGTACTTTTTTAAAAATGTAAAACCTTCTCGGGGGTCCCAAATGTATTTTTTTTAAGAATGTATAACCTTCTCGGGGGTGCCAATGTACTTTTTTAAAAATGTAAAACCTTCTCGGGGGTCCCGAATGTACTATTTTTAAGAATGTGAAACCTTCTCAGGGGTCCCAACTGTCTTTTTTTAAAAATGTGAAACCTTCTCGGGGGTCCCAATGTACTTTTTTAAAAATGTACAACCTTCTCGGGGGTCCCAAATGTATTTTTTTTTTTAAGAATGTAAAACCTTCTCGGGGGTCCCAAATGTATTTTTTTAAGAATGTATAACCTTCTCGGGGGTGCCAACTGTTTTTTTTTAATGCATAACCTTCTCGGGGATCCCAATGTACTTTTTTAAAAATGTAAAACCTTCTCGGGGATCCCAATGTACTTTTTTAAAAATGTAAAACCTTCTCGGGGTTGCCAAATTTACTTTTTCTTTGAGAATGTAAAACCTTCTCGGGGTTCCCAACTGTCTTTTTTAAAAATGTAAAACCTTCTCGGGGATCCCAATGTACTTTTTTAAAAATGTAAAACCTTCTCGGGGTTGCCAAATTTACTTTTTTTTTTTAATGTAAAACCATCTCGGGGTTCCCAACTGTCTTTTTTAAAAATGTAAAACCTTCTCGGGGGTCCCGAATGTACTATTTTTAAGAATGTGAAACCTTCTCGGGGGCCCCAACTGTCTTTTTTTAAAAATGTGAAACTTTCTCGGGGGTGCCAACTTTTTTTTTTTAATGCATAACCTTCTCGGGTTCCCAATGTACTTTTTTAAAAAAGTAAAACGTTCTCGGGGTTGCCAAATTTACTTTTTTTTTAAGAATGTAAAATCTTCTCGGGGTTCCCAACTGTCTTTTTTAAAAATGTAAAACCTTCTCGGGGATCCCAATGTACTTTTTTAAAAATGTAAAACCTTCTCGGAGTTGCCAAATTTACTTTTTTTTTTTAATGTAAAACCATCTCGGGGTTCCCAACTGTCTTTTTTAAAAATGTAAAACCTTCTCGGGGATCCCAATGTACTTTTTTAAAAATGTAAAACCTTCTCGGGGTTGCCAAATTTACTTTTTCTTTGAGAATGTAAAACCTTCTCGGGGTTCCCAACTGTCTTTTTTAAAAATGTAAAACCTTCTCGGGGATCCCAATGTACTTTTTTAAAAATGTAAAACCTTCTCGGAGTTGCCAAATTTACTTTTTTTTTTTAATGTAAAACCATCTCGGGGTTCCCAACTGTCTTTTTTAAAAATGTAAAACCTTCTCGGGGGTCCCGAATGTACTATTTTTAAAAATGTGAAACCTTCTCGGAGGCCCCAACTGTCTTTTTTTAAAAATGTGAAACCTTCTCGGGGGTCCCAATGTACTTTTTTAAAAATGTAAAACCTTCTCGGGGTTGCCAAATTTACTTTTTTTTTGAGAATGTAAAACCTTCTCGGGGTTCCCAATTGTCTTTTTTAAAAATGTAAAACCTTCTCGGGGATCCCTAGTGTACTTTTTTAAAAATGTAAAACCTTCTCGGTGTTGCCAAATTTACTTTTTTTTTTAAGAATGTAAAACCTTCTCGGGGTTCCCAACTGTCTTTTTTAAAAATGTAAAACCTTCTCGAGGGTCCCGAATGTACTATTTTTAAGAATGTGAAACCTTCTCGGGGGCCCCAACTGTCTTTTTTTTAAATATGAAACCTTCTCGGGGGTCCCAATGTACTTTTTTAAAAATGTAAAACCTTCTCGGGGGTCCCAAATGTATTTTTTTTTAAGAATGTATAACCTTCTCGGGGGTGCCAATGTACTTTTTTAAAAATGTAAAACCTTCTCGGGGGTCCCGAATGTACTATTTTTAAAAATGTGAAACCTTCTCGGAGGCCCCAACTGTCTTTTTTTAAAAATGTGAAACCTTCTCGGAGGCCCCAACTGTCTTTTTTTAAAAATGTGAAACCTTCTCGGCGGTCCCAATGTACTTTTTTAAAAATGTAAAACCTTCTCGGGGTTGCCAAATTTACTTTTTTTTTGAGAATGTAAAACCTTCTCGGGGTTCCCAATTGTCATTTTTAAAAATGTAAAACCTTCTCGGGGATCCCAATGTACTTTTTTAAAAATGTGAAACCTTCTCGGGGTTGCCAAATTTACTTTTTTTTTTAAGAATGTAAAACCTTCTCGGGGTTCCCAACTGTCTTTTTTAAAAATGTAAAACCTTCTCGGGGGTCCCGAATGTACTATTTTTAAGAATGTGAAACATTCTCGGGGGCCCCAACTGTCTTTTTTTTTTAAATATGAAACCTTCTCGGGGGTCCCAATGTACTTTTTTAAAAATGTAAAACCTTCTCGGGGGTCCCAAATGTATTTTTTTTAAGAATGTATAACCTTCTCGGGTGTGCCAACAATTTTTTTTTTAAATGCATAACCTTCTCGGGGATCCCAATGTACTTTTTTAAAAATGTAAAACCTTCTAGGGGTTGCCAAATTTACTTTTTTTTTTTAAGAATGTAAAACCTTCTCGGGGGTCCCAAATGTATTTTTTTAAGAATGTATAACCTTCTCGGGGGTGCCAACTGTTTTTTTTTAATGCATAACCTTCTCGGGGATCCCAATGTACTTTTTTAAAAATGTAAAACCTTCTCGGGGTTGCCAAATTTACTTTTTTTTTAAGAATGTAAAACCTTCTCGGGGGTCCCGAATGTAACTGTTCGTAAAACATCTTTTTTGTAAAAAAAATTAAGCAGATAGTCATTATTTATTTAATCAAACTTAAAATTATGGTACACAAAAAACATATAACGAAAATTTTGGAATTTTACAATTGTTAGAAAATTTTATTTCATTTACCTAACATTACATTAATTGCTACATTAACGTCAGTCAATGGCAGCTCAAAAATTACTACTAAATGTTACAATGTTTATTATAACAATGTTTTACAATTGTAAAAGTCCGTTCAACGTTTTATTTAATGTTTATAATGAGATAGACAGCGCTGTCTTAAATGAAACATCCTGTATAACAAAAACTGAAACGCAATAAATGTACGATAAAGATGGGAAATGTTTTGTTAGATCATCGCACCGAAATACGTATCGAAATATAGTAAAAACTGGTATTCCTGGCGGCTAAAAAAAACCCGTAATCATTACAGTACATCGCACTTTGACCAAGGTTTTTTCTAAGCATTCATTATTCAAATACACACTATAATTATCCCACAAAAACCAAAACACGCACAACATAAATAATTCAGTTCGCCATCAATCGAAACTAATACGCACAAACACTTCCTGTTTTGCCCGTTTTAGAAAAAAATTCTTGATAAACGTCCAGCGTTCAACTATGACTCAATCCACAAACTAAAACCCAAACCCGGACGATAAAAATAAACCTACGCATAAACACCGTGGGCTACATTCTGATTATACCGATGTAAATATAAAACGTAAAATTCGACATCAACAAAACAACGTGATAATCCAGTGTTGCCAAGTTTATTTATCATCAAACCATTTGAATTTTACAGAATCGACTACATGAATCATAGGCATAATTGTATTCTATGAAACGGTTAATCATTATTAATAAAAACAATTTTTTGTATCTCAAATCAGTTTAAATAACCGCCAAATCTATCAGACGTCACACCCCCAACCAATACACAGCTTCGTGGTGGGGGGAAATGTCAAACTAGAACCTCACGTCAGCTGTTTCGCGGTATGTTGTATTAGAAACAAATGCTAGCATCGAATCAGCTGTTGTGTTGACATACGAACATCACCCGAAGAAGTACAATGTCAGAGAACGAGGCCACGACGTCGCATCCCGAGTCCGCGAACGAGGGTGGCGACAAAGAGAATGAGTTTCTCGAGCCCGAAAACAAACGTCGCAAGACAACCCCCAACAGCGACAAGAAGTACAAACTAGAGGAGCGCCTCGGCGGAATTTTGTGCTGCGCAGTTTGCCTCGACCTACCTAAAGCTGCAGTTTACCAGGTAGGTGCTTCTTGTAAGAGCCATTTTCGTGTGTGTTACGTAATGTGACGTCATTGGTTCTCTTTGTTTGGCCGCAATTTCGAGTTGTATTATTGATTTTCAGAGATATGTGTTTGGAGGGCTCGAGCGGGGGCTGGTGCCCTCGCTCGACCCCTCGAGGTGCACAGGACAGACTTTTTTTGAAAAGTTTTGTTTTATCTCAGCTTTTTTCTTCAAGCTGTATTTAAGACTGGACTTCCACTGTGAAAGTAGTTTAGTGATGTAGTTTTAATTTAATTTGTAATGCGTCATCTGTGATAACGATATTTAAATAAGATGTGATATTCAGCTACTTTTATACAAGGATTTTGCTTCAACGTTGAAAATAAATATATTAAATTTATATTTTAGTCATTATTCACTTTTAGAAATAGCATGTATTTTCCCCATCCTGTCCTATTTCTTTGTTGGTTTCTTTGTCAGAGAGCACCCAAGATTTTGATATGATTGCAATAACAATCGACGAAGGTAGGTAAAGTCGTCCCAAGGGGGAAAGTCACCTAAAGTCACTCACGAAATGCACCCCTTTCGATTTACGTTAAGTCTTTTTCACGGAAACTCAGTTTCCGGTTAAAATTAACCAGAAGCGGTGACAATCCATCGCTCAAAAGGTAACGTAGCACCATCGCTCTCACTCAAACCCTTTGAGTTAGAGCGGCCCCGAAGACTTATTACGCTTTATTGATAAACTTTGTTAGTTCCAGGACATGAAGAGGATTGGTAAGTGTCTTCTTGCAAAACTAATGCATTGTGGACCCATTCCGACCCATCACCACACCATATTCATATATGTATCTTGCAGTGCAGCAATGGTCACCTCATGTGTGCTGGATGTTTCACACACCTCCTTGCTGATGCCCGTTCTCGGGACGACACACCCACTTGTCCCACGTGCCGGGTCGAAATCTGCAAGACCACAGCCACCCGAAATTTGGCGGTGGAGAACGCCGTCTCCGAACTTCCATCCGAGTGTCAGTTCTGCAACAAGCAGTTCCCGAGGAATTCGCTAGAACGTCACGAACAAGAGGAATGCGAGGAGAGGTTCATTATGAGAACGTGTGACGGGACCGATTACAAATGCCCTTTTTCTGGTAGAGTTTCAGGATGCAAGTACCATAGGATAGGGTGCCCGTGGAGGGGACCCTTCCACGAGAAGACCAACCACGAGCAGGAGTGCGGACACCCGAAGAAAAGTGGCGCCGAGGTGATGGAAGCTCTGGAAATACTGGACCAGAAGGTAATGGAAGAAAGAAAGTTGTATAAAGCCATCTTCGAATTGTTGGGTTATGACAAGATCACGTTCAATGGTGGGTATGGGTTCAGTCGTACGATATTAATTAACCCCGATTTGACGTTATAGACATTCAACTAAAGCCATACCGGAGCGACGACTTTGTCCACCGGCTGCTATACGAATCGTCAAGGTTTTACGTCTCCGGGCATCAGTGGCTTGTCAAGGCTAAAATCACCGAAAACCAGAAGGATCCAACGCAAAACTCGGAGAGAGTTATGACTTATCAGCTTGTACTTAAGTCAAAGGTGTCGACGGCATTGAGCTTAAGTTACATTGTTCTTTGTGGTCCTGTGGGCGACATCAAGGTGCAGCCGCGCGTCTACAAGTTCGACTTCACGGAACACGAGAATGAAACTCCGTATGAAACATTTCCACTAATCGATGCAGCTGAATGTAATCGGTTGCTAGCGGCCAAGACGATTAATTTCAGGTTAATCATGTTTTGGGCCTCAAAGTAAGCTTCTTCTAATTTATAGTACTCTCGTGGCATATGCATTTTCTTTTTCAGTTGATTCTATTCTTTCTGGTACAGGTGCATTATTTTAATTTTTAGTTATTGGAATGAATTTGTCAGCGAAAGGTATATTTGTACATGTTTTGAGATTATATTTTACAAATCTTTGTTTAATTTAAGACTTTTTATGTGCGGATTTTATTTAAATATTGTGTGGCGTGTTCACCGACTAGTGAGATTTTTTTCATTGTTTTTGAGATTTTTGTTACCTCCATTTTTGTGTTGCCATTCTTTTTACTTTTATAGAAGAGAAATCAGTGTGTTTTTTAAGATTTGTACCATTTATTAATTTATAAAGTTTCGTTTTTTCATTGTCATTCACTATCGCGAGGGTAGGTAGTAAGTACGTTAAAATTAATTTAGTTTGTTTACAATCCATGGAAACTGATCTTGGTAGAATATAGATTTTGAAAAATGTTGTTTTTTTTTCCACGATAGAAGAAGATTTCTTAAGATAAGGCTGATTTTGGTAAGTGACTAAACAATATGAAGAGTAATCACTGGAATAAAGAGGGGGTGGGTGGGCGGGGCTACTTTTTTTCGCTTTTTTTTCACCTGGTTTTTTGCTGCCTCTTTTATTTAACGCTATTTTTCGGCCTCTTTTTTGGCACATTTTGTGGACCTTTATTGTCGCTTTTTTTGGACCCCTTTTTCATCGCATTTTTTGTCGGACAATTTTCATCCTTTTTTTTGTCTGTTTTGTTTTTGGTCGTCTCGCCTTTTTTTCGCCTTCTCTTTGTTCCCTCTTTTTTGACTTTTTTTTGTTGCCTCTTTCTTCTTCCCCCTTTTCGTTTTTTTTTTCGTCTTTTTTGTTGAAGCGTTTTGTCGACTTTTTGCTGGATCTGTATGATCGCCTTTTTTGTGGACCTTTTTTCCTTATCGACGTTTTTTCGATGGTTTTGGAGTTTTTTTTAATCGCCTTTTTTTACTCCTTCATGTCATTTTTTTGTCGGACTGTTTCTTGTCCCCTTTTTGACACTTTTTTATGCCTTCTTTGTTGACTTTTTGTGTGTCCTTTTTTTTGTCGGATATTTTGACCTACGATAGAAGAATATCGTGTATATCATAAAACGCTAACCAAAATTTATCTGATCATCACATCAACCATCTGTCGACTTCATCTCAAAATTTTGCAAAGTAAATCCTGTTTAAATTTCATAAAATAAAACGCTTCTGTGTCTGTGGTTGATGAAACCGCCTTTATTTTTTCTTTGGACATCCAGATATTCGGAAAAAAATGACAAATTCATGCACAAAGCAATTTATTGTATTGATTAAATCAAAAACGGCTCCATATTCCCGAAATTTTGGAAATACAGAGAGAATATTGTACATATTTTTGGCATATGGACACAAAAGCGATAACAACCAATTAAATATACAGTCGTTTCCAAAAAATTTCGGGCAGGATGAACGACAAAATCTTTTTGTATGAAAATAATAGGCAAACTGACTAAATTTTAGTTAAATTGTGTACTTTTTATCTTGGTAGAATTCAAAAAAATCTAGAAGAAACTAGAAGAATCTGAAAGAGTCTGCAAGGATCTGAAATGATCTGGGAAAATTTGAAAGAATCTGAAACGATATGAAAAGTGAAAAATTCTGATAGAATCTGAGAGTATCTAAAAAATCTTAAAACATTTAAGATTTATTCAAATTGTTTCATTTTCTTTACGACTCTTTTTTCGAATTCTTTGGATTCTTTCTGATTTTTTCGCATTTTTCGGATTCTTTCGTACTTTTCAGATCCCTTCGAACTTTTCACATTCTTTCAAAGACACCATCATAAATCCTCAAGATTCTTTAAAATTTTTTAGTTCTGTTGAGATTCCTGCAGACTCTTCCAGATTTTTCTAGATTCTTCAACATTTTGTCATATTCCCTGGGGGAATTTGAGGGAATCTCGAAAAATCTGGAAGAATCTGAACGAGTTTGCAGGATTCTGAAGCGATGTGGAAAAATTTGAAAGGATCTGGAAGGATAGGCAAATTGAAAAATTCTTAGAGAATCTGAGAATTTAATTGTATTAATAATAAATATGATATTCATAACGATTCATTAAAATTGATTTTTATTTCCGATTATGTTTAAGGTTACTTAATTTTTTTGTTAATTTTCTAGTTATTGTTTGTAGAAGTATATTTTTAGTTTATTTGGTTTCTGTAATTAGGATCTCTTCCTGTTGAAATTAACAGATATTATTATTATTAAAATCGTAAGAGTCTGAGGGAATCTAAGAAAATTTGAGAAATTCGTAAAGAAACTGAAGGAATTTGAAGGAATCTGAAAGAATCTGACAGAACCTTTGAGAATCTTAAAGAATTTTGAAGACTTTAGAAAAATATAAGAGAATCTAAAAAAAACTGGAGGAATCTGGAAGAATTTGAAAGAATATGCAGGGATCTGAAAGGATCTGAAACGATCTGAACAGAACTGAAAAGTTTGAAAGAATCTTGAGGATTCCTGACGGTGTCTGTGATAGAATCTAAAAAAATTTGAAAAAATTGGAAACAATCCGGAAGCATCGAAAATCATCTGGAATAATCAGAAGGAATAAAAAAAATCGAAAAAATCTGAAAGAGAGAATCAGAAAGAAAATGAAAGGACCTGAAACCATTTAAAAAAATCTGAAGCAATTTGAGGGAATCTGAGAGATTCGGAAAGTATTTACAGGAATCTGAGGAAACCTGTGGGAATCTGTAAGAATCTGGAAGAATCTAGAAAAATTTGGAAAAAGTCTGCAGGGATCTCAAAGTATCTGCATGGTTTTGAAAAGACCTGAATAGAATTAAAAAATTTTAAAGAAGCGTGTCTTTGGAAGAATCTGAAAAAATTCGAAAGAATGAAACAATCCGTAAACATCCAAAAGGCAGAATCTAAAAAAAAGGAACGCATCTGAAAACATCTTGAAGAATCTGAGGGAATATGAAACTAAGAATCGGAATGAATTAGAAAGAATCAGAGGGGATCGAAAAGATAGGAGAATTAAAAAATTCTTAGAGAATCTGACAATTTAATTGTATTAATAATAAATGTGATATTCATAACGATTCATTAAAATTGATTTGTGCTAACTTGCTAAACATTGTATAATATGTAATTAGTGTTATATATTTATTATGTTTAAAGTCACTTAAATTTTTTGTTAATTTTCTAGTTATTGTTTATAGAAGTATATTTTTAGTTTATTTGGTTTCTGTAATTAGGATCTCTTGCTGTTGAAATTAACAGATATTATTATTATTAAAATCGAAAGAGTCCTGGGAAAATCTAAGAAAATTTGAGAAATTCGTAAAGAAACTGAAGGAATTTGAAGGAATCTCAAAGAATCTGACAGAACCTTTGAGAATCTTAGAGAATTTTGAAGAATTTCGAAGAATTTAGAAAAATATAAGAGAATCTAAAAAAACTGGAGGAATCTGGAAGAATTTGAAAGAATATGCAGGGATCTGAAAGGATCTGAAACGATCTGGACAGAACTGAAAAGTTTGAAAGAGTCTTGAGGATTCCTGACGGTGTCTGTGATAGAATCTAAAAAAATTTGAAAAAATTGGAAACAATCCGGAAGCATCGAAAATCATCCGGAATAATCAGAAGGAATAAAAAAAAAATCAAAAAAATCTGAAAGAGGGAATCAGAAAGAAAATGAAAGGACTTGAAAGCATTTAAAAGAATCTGGAGCAATTTGAAGGAATCTGAGAGATTCGGAAAGTATTTACAGGAATCTGAGGAAACCTGTGGGAATCTGTAAGAATCTCGAAGAATCTATAAAAATTTCGATAAAGTCTGCAGGGATCTCAAAGTATCTGCAAGGTTTTGAAAAGACCTGAATAGAATTAAAAAATTTGAAAGAATCGTGTCTTTGAAATTATCTGAAAAAATTCGGAAGAATGTGAAATAGTCCGTAAACATCCAAAAGGAAGAATCTTAAAAAAAGGAACGCATGTGAAAACATGTTGAAGAATCTGAGGGAATATGAAACTAAGAATCGGAATGAATTAGAAAGAATCAGAGGAGATCGAAAAGCTAGGAAAATTAAAAAATTCTTAGAGAATCTGAGAATTTAATTGTATTAATAATAAATGTGATATTCATAACGATTCATTAAAATTGATTTTTGCTAACTTGCTAAACATTGTATAATATGTAATTAGTATTACATATATATTTTCGATGTACCTACTCTTATTATGTTTAAGGTCACTTAATTTGTTTGTTAATTTTCTAGTTATTGTTTGTAGAAGTATATTTTTAGTTTATTTGGTTTCTGTAATTAGGATCTTTTTCTGTTGAAATTAACAGATATTATTATTATTAAAATCGAAAGAGTCTGAGGGAATCTAAGAAAATTTGAGAAATTCGCAAAGAAACTGAAGGAATTTGAAGGAATCTCAAAGAATCTGACAGAACCTTTGAGATTCTTAGAGAATTTTGAAGAATCTCGAAGAATTTAGAAAAATATAAGAGAATCTAAAAAAAACTGTAGGAATCTGGAAAAATTTGAAAGAATATGCAGGGATCTGAAAGGATCTGAAACGATCTGAACAGAACTGAAAAGTTTGAAAGAGTCTTGAGGATTCCTGACGGTGTCTGTGATAGAATCTTAAAAAATTTGAAAAAATTGCAAACAATCCGGAAGCATCGAAAATCATCCGGAATAATCAGAAGGAATAAAAAAAATCGAAAATATCTGAAAGAGAGAATCAGAAAGAAATTGAAAGAACCTGAAAACATTTAAAAAAATCTGGAGGAATTTGAGGGAATCTGAGAGATTCGGAAAGTATTTGCAGGAATCTGAGGAAACCTGTGGGAATCTGTAAAAATCTCGAAGAATGTAGAAAAATTTGGAAAAAGTCTGCAGGGATCTCAAAGTATCTGCATGGTTTTGAAAAGACCTGAATAGAATTAAAAAATTTGAAAGAATCGTGTCTTTGAAATTATCTGAAAAAATTCGGAAGAATGTGAAATAGTCCGTAAACATCCAAAAGGAAGAATCTTAAAAAAAGGAACGCATGTGAAAACATCTTGAAGAATCTGAGGGAATATGAAACTAAGAATCGGAATGAATTAGAAAGAATCAGAGGAGATCGAAAAGATAGGAAAATTAAAAAATTCTTAGAGAATCTGAGAATTTAATTGTATTAATAATAAATGTGATATTCATAACGATTCATTTAAATTGATTTTTGCTAACTTGCTAAACATTGTATAATATGTAATTAGTATTACATATATATTTTCGATGTACCTACTCTTATTATGTTTAAGGTCACTTAATTTTTTTGTTAATTTTCTAGTTAATGTTTGTAGAAGTATATTTTAGTTTATTTGGTTTCTGTAATTAGGATCTCTTCCTGTTGAAATTAACAGATATTATTATTATTAAAATCGAAAGAGTCCTGAAGGAATCTAAAAAAATTTGAGAAATTCGTAAAGAAACTGAAGGAATTTGAAGGAATCTCAAAGAATCTGACAGAACCTTTAAGAATCTTAGAGAATTTTGAAGAATTTCCAAGAATTTAGAAAAATATAAGAGAATCTAAAAAAAAACTGGAGGAATCTGAAAGAATTTGAAAGAATATGCAGGGAACTGAAAAGATCCGAAACGATCTGAACAGAACTGAAAAGTTTGAAAGAATCTTGAGGATTCCTGACGGTGTCTGTGATAGAATCTAAAAAATTTGAAAAAATTGGTAACAATCCGGAAGCATCGAAAAGCATCCGAAATAATCAGAATAAATAAAAAAAATCGAAAAAATCTGAAAGAGAGAATCAGAAAGAAAATGAAAGAACCTGAAAACATTTAAAAAAATCTGAAGCAATTTGAAGGAATCTGAGAGATTCGGAAAGTTTTTGCAGGAATCTGAGGAAACCTGTGGGAATCTGTAAGAATCTCGAAGACTGTAGAAAAATTTGGAAAAAGTCTGCAGGGATCTCAAAGTATCTGCATGGTTTTGAAAAGACCTGAATAGAATTAAAAAATTTGAAAAAAGCGTGTCTTTGGAAGAATCTGAAAAAATTCGAAAGAATGTTAAACAATCCGTAAACATCCAAAAGGAAGAATCTTAAAAAAAAGGAACGCATCTGAAAACATCTTGAAGAGTCTGAGGGAATCCAAGAAAATCTGACAGAATATGAAACTAAGAATCGGAATGAATTAGAAAGAACCAGAGGAGATCGAAAAGAATCTCAGGAAACCTAGACGAATCTAGGTAAACCTGGCAGAATCTGAGAGGATTTGAGAGAATTTAGAAAAATGTAGAAAAATCTGAAGCTGCCTGTAGGAAAGGATCCAAAGCGATCTTGAAAAATTCTGAGGAATTCTGAAGATTAGAGAAATTGAGAGAATCTGAAAAAGTAGAAACAAATCTGCAATAAAGTGTATTTTTTCTAGAAACTTTCGCATTAATTTTTCAACATATTATTGAAACTAAAATTTATGGAAAAGTTGATACTGACATTTTACCGTTGAGACGTTATAAACGGAGTGAAATGAATGATCAACAGAAATTAAGGCAATGTTTCCGAAAAAAATTCCATGTTAACTAAAAACGCATTGACATTTAGATAGATAGATCAACTTCTCAACTTAAGAGCGCCCCTCTTAGACGCTTAGATACAAATATTTTAATTCAGTGAGTGCAAAGTCGACCGGTCCTTTAAACGCAGCGACCCGTCAAAGCACTGGTCATGGTTAAATTTTATTGCCTCTCAGGAAAAACTTGCTTTAGCTCACTCTTAATAGAAAAATCAACTCCCGTCAGAGGGCGCCCGTGTGCTCGCAATCTGGCAACGCCGCTCAAAGTTTATGTTGTGACAGCAGGACAACAGTCTGCTTGTTCATGATTATTTAGTAGACGAATCTCAGCTGTTACAAGTCAGCCGTTGTGTGTTAGTCCCTCAACGTCTCGTTCGCCCAGAAGAACTGAAACATGTCCGAATTCGAAGCGACGACGTCCAATGCGGAATCCACGAACGTTGACAACGAAAAAGTGGAGGAAATGGAACCCGAAGCGAAGCGTCGCAAAACAACAACCCCCAGCGAAGACAAGAAATACAAGCTCGAGGAAAGACTGGGTGGAATTCTTTGCTGCGCAGTTTGCCTCGATCTACCCAAGGCTGCCGTCTATCAGGTAAGTGCCCCTGTCACTTTCGACTACAAGTTGAAATAAATTACGTATTACATAACGAAAGTCTGAATTCGATTGTCTTTGTTTGCAAAATTGCGAATTGTCGGGTCTGGTATTGATTTTTAGAAGTGCTCGAAAGATCCGAGTGGGGCTTTCATCCACTCGATCTTTGTGTTTGTCAAGGTCATGGTAGTGGGCAATTTTTTGCGAGAAATTGCCTACCAGCGCCAGTGTTCTCTGCGAATTTAACCATACGTACCTACAATGTTTAATTGTAGTTTAATGATGTATATGTAGTATGTAATTATGTACTATTTACTCTCTGATGTTGATATTTAAATGTTAAGTTGGATATAGTTTGATATTTTAACGATGAGCTATTTTATACAGAGGTTTTCTTCAACGTTAACAATAAACGTATTAAATTATACTTTAGTCATTATTCACATTAAAACAAAAAACATTTTATTTTCCCCATCCCGTCCCACGCCTCTCAGTTCTTATAAAAGAGCGAGCATAATTTTAATTTGTTCTTAAGGTAGGTAGGTTTGGAAATGTGAAGTGACCACCGTTTTCGATTAACGTTGTTAATTCAACCCTTACTAAAGTTAACCCAGTTAACACGAAGCGGTGACTTAAGTCACTTCTCAAGTAACGTAACGTAGTCAAAGATGCGCTCTCACTCAAACCCACTTCACTAAAAAAAAAAAAAAATTTGAGTTAGGGCGACTCCACATACCGTTCCGCCTTATTGATAAACTTTATGTTAGTTCCAGGACATGAAGAGGATTGGTAAGTGTCCAAAGCTTAATTAATCTCTGTGGGCTGGGAACATGTTTCTGAGTTAATAATTTGTGGACTATTTAACCGAAATCGCCGCAGCGTATTCATGTGTGTGTGTTACAGTGCAGCAACGGCCACTTGATGTGTGCTGGGTGTTTCACACACGTCCTTGCTGATGCCCGTTTGCGGGACGAAACGTCGACGTGTCCGACTTGCCGCGTCGAAATCAGCAAGACCACAGCCACCCGAAATTTGGCGGTGGAGAACGCCGTCTCCGAGCTTCCATCCGAGTGTCAATTCTGCAACAAGCAGTTCCCGAGGAACTCGCTGGAGCGCCACGAGGAGGAGGAGTGCGAGGAGAGGTCGGTTGGGGGTTGGGTGTGCGGAGGGAGTATTTCTGTGGTAGGATTTCAGGGTGTAAGTATCACAGGATTGGGTGCCCGTGGAGGGGACCGAACCATGAGAGGGCCCAGCATGAGCAGGAGTGTGGGCATCGTCATAAAACGGGAGCGGAGATTATGGAGGTTTTGGATGTGTTGGACCAGAAGGTGATCGAGGAAAGGAGGCTGTACAAGACCGTGTTCGAGCTTTTGGGGTACGATAGGATCACGTTTAATGGTAAAAAAATTGCAACCATTTACGAGAGAAAGTACTAATAAATTTTCAGATATCCAGCTGAAACCCTATCGAACTGATGATTTCGTGCATCGGTTATTCTACGAATCTTCGAGATTTTCAGCGTTTAATTATCAGTGGGTTGTTAAAGCGAAAATTAGCGACAGCCAAAAGGATCCCACACAAAGTTCAGAGAGAGATATGACTTATCAGGTGCGACGAAGATGTCACGAGTGAAACACTTTAATTTTTGATTGAATTTGAATTGTTTAGATTCTACTCAAGTCGCGGATATCCACACCAATGAACTTAAGTTACATCGCTGTATGCGGTCCAGGGGGTGACATTAAGGTGAATCCACGCGTCTACAAATTTGACTTCACAGAAAAGGAGTGTGAAACAACGTATGAACCATTTCCATTGCCTGACACTGCTGAATGTAATCGTTTGCTAGCCTCGAAAACGATCAATTTCAGGTTAATTATGTTTTTGGCTTCAAAATAAACCCTTTTAGCAGACTACTTTTTGCTAAGTAATAGTTCGATATTTATATGATATACTCAATCTGTGTTTTGTAAGTGAGTATTTAAAATTAAGGTTAAGTACAGAAAGGTCTGTCCACGAATTTTATATTTAAGGATAAATTTTCATTTTATATATTTTTCGTCTACAAAGTTTATAATTTATAGCAATTTTATTGTGTTACCGACGTTCAGTGGTGCCGCTAATATTTATGCCTATTTTTCACTGTAGAGAAAATGTTGAGTATTGTTTTTTTTTTATTAGATAGTTTAATTACATATTTTTCTCATTATATCTTTAATTTGTAGAAGTAGACAAATTTGTGTGATTTCTAATTGTAAAAAATTATAGAACTATAGAAACTTAAAAGACAATTTGTGTTTTCTTTTTGTGTTAAAGTTGGTAAAATTTCGCGAAAATCAGTAAGTCGTGATCATTAATGACTGAAGCGATTTTTGGGTTGGCAATCCTGAATTGTTGGCATGTCAATTCACAGTTGTCAATTTTGACATGAGCGCACCTAAAAATCAATAATCGGGTGGCAGCTACTAAATTGGTGCGGAAAATTTCAAATATGCCATCATAAAATTTTAAACATATTGCCAACCTCACAGAAGAAAAACCCAAACATTAACAGTCACTCGCTATTTGCATATTTGGATTTTTTCAAGAAAATTCCCAGATTTCGTTCTTGAAGGTGGTACATAATTCTGTTTAATATTAGTACACAAGGTCTGCTTACCGTTTAGTGATCCTATAAAAATGATCTGCATTCTTACATGGGTAGTGGAAATCTTTCGTTTCCCCACTTCAAGCTCAGATTCATAAAATATCCCTAAGATAATCAGAAAGATAGTAAATCATTATTCAAGACTTATTCGTTTGCGCCCCCTTCTCAAAAGTGATGACGTCATTTTACAATATTACCGAAAAAAACTTGCTAAGATAGAACTGAACAATATTAAGAGTAGTCATTGGAATAAAGAAGGGGTGGGTGGGCGGGGCTAGTACTTTATAAGATAAGACTGATTTTGGTAAATAACATATCCTTTAAGAAAATGAAGGGAGGGTGGGCGGGGCTAACACTTTGCTAAGATAGAACTGAACAATATTAAGAGTAGTCCTTGAATTAAAAAGGGGTGGGTGGGCGAATTTCGAGCCATTTTCTACGTTTTTCGAAATTTAACTAAATACATTTTTCAAATTTCACTCCAAATATTTCGAAAATATTGCTCCAACACGCTATATTTTTGGAATCAGCACGTGCATTTTTTTGAGAATTTCTAGACGACTTTTTCAAAATTGTAATTTTGTCTTATACAAATTATAACAGTTGACGATTCTGGAAAAATGCTAGTAATTTTTGAAGAAATGAAGCATAAAATAATCTCGGAATCGAAATCTACAGAAAAATTCGGGATTTTTTGTCAACTTTTTCAAAAACAATATTTTTCAAACCTGAACATTTTTAAAACTGAACGTAAAGACATTTTCTCAAAGATTTCAAGCAAAAGAAGTTGGTTTCGGCGTCATTTCTTCTATAACTCCTACCATTTTTCCAAAATAGCCTAATGGAATATTGTAATTTTTTGGATTTCAAAAAAAAAAATTCAAGCGGGATATTTCTAAAATCTTTCCACGAAACGATGATCACGCTATATTTTTGGGATCAGCACATAGAAATTGATATCCCAGAATTTTTTGAGATTTTTGGACAACTTTTTCAAAATAAGATCTTTCAGTGAAAAATTTCTGCCAATTTGCGATCGTTTTCAAAACTTAACTTATAGATATTTTCTTGTAGACTTCGACCTACAGAATTTAGTTTCGGTATCACTTCTTCGATAACTCATACCATTTTTCCAGAATCACTCAATGAAGTTTGTATTGCAATTTTTTGGATTAAAAGAAAATATATATTTTTTTTCAAACCGAATATTGCTAAAATCGTGAAACTTGTAGTATTTACCATGATAAAACTGATTTTGGAAAAGGACCTACTCATTAAAAAAATAAAGGGCGGGTGGGCGGGGCTAGTACTTGTCAAGATAAAAGTGATTTTGAAAATAGGCCTACTCTCTAAGGAAATAAAGAGAAGGTGGGCGGGGCTATTATTTCTCATGATGAAACTGATTTTGGCAAAGGACCTACTCTCTAAGAAAATAAAAGGCGGGTGGGTGGGGCTAATACTTGCGTTGATAAGACTGATTTTGGCAAATGGTACACCCTTTAAGAAAATAAAAGGCGAGTGGTAGTACTTGATTTTCACACTGGATGTTTCTAGAATCTTATCCCGAGACCATGAACATGCTACATTTTTGGGATTAGCACGTCGAAATTTATATCCCTGAATTTTTTGGGATTTTTGAGGTATTTTTTAAAAAACAAAATTTTTCAATACCCCAAAGTTAGTTATGTCTGCATTTCTTCGACAATTCCTACCACATTTCCAGAATCGCCCTATGGAATATTGTAATTTTTTGCATTATAAAAAACATATATTATGAAACCGAATATTTCTAAAATCCTTCCCCTAGACCATGAGCACGCTATATTTTTGGGATTAGCAAGTGGAAATTTATATCCCCGAAGGTTTTTTTTGACAACTTTTTTAAAAGCAAGATTTTTCAATAAAAAATTTCGCCCAATTTTCGGTCATTTTCCAAGCTTAATGTAAAGACATTTTCTTGTAGATTTCGACCTACAAAAGTTAGTTTCGGCCTCATTTTTCTGTTAACTCCCACCAGAGGCAGTCTTTGTTTAGTTTTTCAAGAATTTAAATAATCTTTGGGGCATCCAGTGTTTTATATTTGTAAAAATTTTAAAGCATCTTGGGAGACTTTGATGTTTCGTTTTTAAGAGAATTTAAAAGAATCTTGGAATTTTGGTGTTTTATTTTTGACAAAATAAAGAATCTCAGAAGCTGCCATCATTTTAGTTTTGAAATAATTTTGGGCCACACTGATGTTTTAATTTGAAATAACTAAAATAATTGAAAGAATCTCAGGGGCTCCTGTTGAAATTATTTACAGAATCCCGGAGGCACTCCTTGTTCAGTTTTTCAATAATTTAAATAATCTCAGGAGCACCCAGTGTTTCATATTTGAAAAAAATTTAAAGCATCTTGGGAGACTTTGATGTTTCGTTTTTAAGAGAATTTAAAAGAATCTTGGAATGTTGGTGTTTTATTTTTGAACAAAAAAAAAAAAAAGAATCTCAGAAGTTACCGTCATTTTAGTTTTGAAATAATTTTGGGCCACACTGATGTTTTAATTTGAAATAACTAAAACAATTGAAAGAATCTCAGGGGTCCTGTTGAAATTATTTATAGAATCCCGGAGGCACTCCTTGTTCAGTTTCTCAAGAATTTAAAGAATCTCAGGAGCACCCAGTGTTTTATATTTGAAAAAATTTTAAAGCATCTTGGGAGACTTTGATGTTTCGTTTTTCAGAGAATTTAAAAGAATCTTGAAATTTTGGTGTTTTATTTTAAAAAAAAATAAAGAATCTCAGAAGATACCGTCGTTTTAGTTTTGAAATAATTTTGGGCCACACTGATGTTTTAATTTGAAATAACTAAAATAATTGAAAGAATCTCAGGGGCTCCTGTTGAAATAATTTACAGAATCCCGGAGGCACTCCTTGTTCAGTTTTTCAAGAATTTAAAGAAATTCAGGAGCACCCACTGTTTTATATTTGAAAAAATTTTAAAGCATCTTGGGAGACTTTGATGTTTCGTTTTTAAGAGAATTTGAAAGAATCTGGAAAATTTGGTGTTTTATTTTTGAACAAAATAAAGAATCTCAGAAGCTCTTGTCATTTCAGTTTTGAAATAACTTTGAAGAATCTTGGAATTTCCGTCGGTTTATTTTTGAAAGAATGTTAAAGATTCTCAAAGGCACCTATCTGGTGTTTTATTTGGAAATAACTGAAATAATGGAAAGAATTTCAGGGGCTGCTGTTGGAATTATTCACAGAATCCCAGAGGCATTCCTTGTTAAGTTATCTCAAAAATTTCAAGAATCTCAGGGGCACCCAGTGTTTTGTATTTGAAAACATTTTAAAGCATCTTGGGAGACTCTAATGTTTCGTTTTTAAGGGAATTTGAAAGAATCTTGGAATTTTGGTGTTTTATTTTTGAACAAAATAAAGAATCTCAGAAACACTTGTCATTTCAGTTTTAAAATAATTTTGAAGAATCTTGGAATTTCTGTCGGTTTAATTTTGAAAGAATGTTAAAGATTCTCAAAGGCACCTGGTGTTTTATTTTGAAATAACTGAAATAATGGAACGAATCTCAAGGGCTCCTGTTGAAATTATTTATAGAATCCCAGGGGCACTTCTTGTTAAGTTTTCTCAAAAATTTCAAGAATCTCAGGGGCACCCAGTGTTTTGTATTTGAAAACATTTTAAAGCATCTTGGGAGACTCTAATGTTTCGTTTTTAAGAGAATTTGAAAGAACCTTGGAATTTTGGTGTTTTATTTTTGAACAAAATAAAAAATCTCAGAAGCTCTTGTCATTTCAGTTTTGAAATAATTTTGAAGAATCTTGGAATTTCCGTCGGTTTATTTTTGAAAGAATGTTGAAGATTCTCAAAGGGACCTGGTGTTTTATTTTGAAATAACTGAAATAATGGAAAGAATCTCAGGGGCTCCTGTTGAAATTATTTATAGAATCCCAAGCGCATCCCTTGTTAATATTTCTCAAGAATTTAAAGAATCTCAGGGGCACCCACTGTTTTATATTTGAAGAAATTTTAAAGCATCTTGGGAGACTTTGATGTTTCGTTTTTAAGAGAATTTGAAAGAGTCTGGAAATGTTGGTGTTTTATTTTTGAACAAAATAAAGAATCTCAGAAACTCTTGTCATTTCAGTTTTGAAATAATTTTGAAGAATCTTAGAATTTCCGTCGGTTTATTTTTGAAAGAATGTTGAAGATTCTCAAAGGGACCTGGTGTTTTATTTTGAAAAGACTGAAATAATGGAAAGAATCTCAGGGGCTCCTGTTGAAATTGTTTATTGAATCCCAGGGGCATTCCTTGTTAAGTTTTCTCAAAAATTTCAAGAATCTCAGGGGCACCCAGTGTTTCGTACTTGAAAAAATTTTAAAGCATCTTGGGAGACTTTGATGTTTCGTTTTTAAGAAAATTTGAAAGAGTCTGGAAATTTTGGTGTTTTATTTTTGAACAAAATAAAGAATCTCAGAAGCTCTTATCATTTCAGTTTTGAAATAATTTTGAAGAATCTTGGAATTTCCGTCGGTTTATTTTTGAAAAAATGTTGAAGATTCTCAAAGGCACCTGGTGTTTTATTTTGAAATAACTGAAATAATGGAAAGAATCTCAGGGGCTCCTGTTGAAACTATTTATAGAATCCCAGGGGCATTCCTTGTTAAGTTTTCTCAAAAATTTCAAGAATCTCAGGGGCACCCAGTGTTTTGTATTTGAAAACATTTTAAAGCATCTTGGTAGACTCTAATGTTTTGTTTTAAAAAAATTTGAAAGAATCTTGGAATTTTGGTGCTTTATTTTTGAACAAAATAAAGAATCTCAGAAGCTCTTGTCATTTCAGTTCTGAAATAATTTTGAAGAATCTTGGAATTTCCGTCGGTTTATTTTTGAAAGAATGTTGAAGATTCTCAAAGGCACCTGGTGTTTCATTTTGAAATAACTGAAATAATGGAAAGAATCTCAGGGGCTCCTGTTGAAGTTATTTATAGAATCCCAGGGGCATTCCTTGTTAAGTTTTCTCAAAAATTTCAAGAATCTCAGGGGCACCCAGTGTTTTGTATTTGAAAACATTTTAAAGCATCTTGGGAGACTCTGATTTCGTTTTTAAGAGGATTTGAAAGAATCTTGGAATTTTGGTGTTTTATTTTTAAACAAAATAAAGAATCTCAGAAGCTCTTGTCATTTCAGTTTTGAAATAATTTTGAAGAATCTTGGAATTTCCGTCGGTTTATTTTTGAAAGACTGTGGAAGATTCTCAAAGGCACCTGGTGTTTTATTTTGAAATAACTGAAATAATGGAAAGAATCTCAGGGGCTCCTGTTGAAGTTATTTATAGAATCCCAGTGGCATTCCTTGTTAAGTTTTCTCAAAAATTTCAAGAATCTCGGGGCCACCCAGTGTTTTGTAGTTGAAAACATTTTAAAGCATCTTGGAAGGCTATGATGTTTCGTTTTTAAGAGAATTTGAAAGAATCTTGGAATTTGGTGTTTTATTTTTGAACAAAATAAAGAATCTCAGAAACTCTTGTCATTTCAGTTTTGAAATAATTTTGAAGAATCTTAGAATTTCCGTCGGTTTATTTTTGAAAGAATGTTGAAGATTCTCAAAGGCACCTGGTGTTTTATTTTGAAATAACTGAAATAATGGAAAGAATCTCAGGGACGCCTGTTGAAATTATTTATAGAATCCCAGAGGCATTCCTTGTTAAGTTTTCTCAAAAATTTCAAGAATCTCAGGGGCACCCAGTGATTTGTAGTTGCAAAAATTTTAAAGCATCTTGGGAGACTTTGATGTTTCGTTTTTAAGAGAATTTGAAAGGATCTTGCAATTTTGGTGTTTTATTTTTGAAAAAAATAAAAAATCTCAGGAGCTCCCGTCGTTTCAGTTTTGAAATAATTTTGAAGGACTTTGAACTTCCTTTCGTCGGTTCGTTGTTGAAAAAATGTTCAAGAATTTAAAGAATCTCAAGGGCACCTAGTGTTTCGTATTTCAAAGAATTTTAAAGAAAATCTTTGGTGTTTCAGTTTTAAAGAATTTGAAAGAATCTTGGAGACCCTTGGTGTTTTATTAAAAAAAAAATAAAGGAGTGTCAGAAGTTCCCCTCGTTTCATTTTTGTTTCAGGAGGAATTTGAAAGAATCTTGGGCTCCCTTGATGTTTTATTTCTGGTTAAAAAAAATTAAAGAATATTAATGCCTCCGGTACAGTTTCATTTTGAATTCATAATATATTACCCATGTCTTGACAGTATTGATAAATACCGTCTTCAAAAAATCCAAAATAATTGTTGTCGTTTCATTTTTGGTTTGAGGAAATTTGATCATGTGTCTCAGAAAATCTGTGAGCTTGGTTGGATGAAAATTGACAAATTGTTTCAGTATCACCTATCTATTTTTGCTTTCAAGTTATTTTCCTCTAACTCTCCGCCGTACTTGCGTTGTAAATTTCATACAAGAAAAAGTATGTTAAACTCAAGTCTTCCATTAAGGAATCTTAAAGAACTGTCAATGCCAAAGCATTAAACATCTATCTTTCAGAGATCTTTCACGTACAATATTATCAAAGTTTACAATAAATTTTTATTAGAGTTTAATTCAAATTCTTCCATCAATTGTTTTAGGAAAAAAATTAAAAAATGCTTGATTAATACTTAGGTTTAAGTTTATTATTGTGGTTCTCTTGCTTGTTGTTAACTTTTTGTTATTATTATTATTATTATTTGTATAAATTTAGTTTCTAATTATGGATTATTTAATTTAATTTAGATTTAATTAGTTTAATTTGTTTAATTTGATCATTACCTAGCTGACTCCTGTCTAGATATTTAATCCGTTTTTCTGTACAACCTGTTTGGTTAGTTTTATTTTCTTGTAAATCTAAGGTTAAGTGGAATAGCCTATGGCTAGACTTCGCCTATTATTATTTAATAAAGTCCTATTATTATTATTATTATTATTATTATTAATTCATTCTAAAAAATCTTGGAATTTCCTGGTGTTTTATTTTTGAAAAAAAAAAAAATCTTAGGGGTTCTCGTTTCATTTTTGAATCGATTTTAAATCATCTTAAGGGCACTTGTTATTGTGTTCTAGGAAGAATTTGAAAGAGTTTAGGGCTCTCTCTTGTTTTGAAATATGTAACTTTAAAGAATCTCAGAGGCCGCGAACATTTTATTTTTAACTAATTTTAAATAACAATAACTACGTTTTAAATTAAACGACCACGACCCCTTGAGATTTAAAATTATTTCAAAATAAAATGACCTAAGACTTTTTAAAAATGGAACACCAGAAGTCGCTGATATTTTTTGGATTTTTCAAAAAAAAAAACAAAAAAAAGAAAATAAGTTGGTCATGATTTAAATGTGCAATGTTTTATATAAAATAATTAATTAAAATTAAGTAATCAACATTAAAAAAAAGAACAAATTTTATTTTACAAGAGGTGGTCAAGGTTTAAATGTGCAATGTTTTATATAAAATAATTAATTAAAATTAAGTAATCAACATTAAAAAAAAGAACAAATTTTATTTTACAAGAGGTGGTCAAGGTTTAAATGTGCAATGTTTTATATAAAATAATTAATTAAAATTAAGTAATCAACATTAAAAAAAAGAACAAATTTTATTTTACAAGAGGTGGTCAAGGGGCTTGCAATTTACTTATTTCATAGCAGTGATGAAGGATTCCAATAAATTAATACTACATAATTTTAAAGAAAATTAATTTACCTTTCATCAAAAGGTACTAAATAACCTGATAAGGTTTAATTTAAAGAAAATATATAAAAAAGTCACTGTCTAAACTTTTGAAAACAGTTTTTTAGTTACATTTATGTATAGTATGAAAACAAAATTTGAAAAAAACTCAGTAGTTCTAAATTGCCGAGGAGGGGGTATTGAACCCTAATTCTACCCCAGATACTATTGCACTGCACACCCAAAAAAAAAACACCAGGTGATAAAATTAGTGTCGAGTGTAAGCAATGCAAACAAATTTCCTTTATTATGATCTAATTTTCGTGCTACAAATATTACGCACAATAACATAAACAAAACAGCGCGTGTAAGATAGTAGGTGTCCCGTTTCGCTTTTCCCCTCCGCTTATCAGCCGTCCTTGTTGACGTTGTCAAACTTGCAGCTGATTGTCATTTGACGTCACGCCGTCCAACCAATGGCCGTCCTTCTGCGCCCCGAAATGTGGTGGGGTGCACATGTCCAACCCAAACTCAGCTGTTTTGTCTGCACGTTTGGCTGGTGCTGTTATTAGAAGTGGAGGTGCGCATTGTGTCAGCTGTTGTGTTTTGATTACTACGCATCGTCCGAAGAGAGCAATGTCGGAAATCGAGGCGACGACGTCCAACGCGGAGTCCACGAGTCAAGACTGCGAAAAAGAGTTTCTGGAGCCCGAAGCGAAGCGTCGCAAGACGACAGCCCCCACCGATGCCAAGAAGTACAAGCTGGAGGAGCGACTGGGCGGAATTCTGTGCTGCACAGTCTGCCTGGACCTTCCTAAAGCCGCAGTTTACCAGGTAAGTGGTGTAGTTCTTCTCGTCAGAGTCGTTTTCATAGGTATTACGTAATGTTACGTCACTTGTCTTTGTTCCGCCGGAGCTGCGATCCGTGTTGTATTGATTTTCAGGGAAACTACAGCTATATTTAAACGGGCTCGAACGGGGGTTGGGGCCCTCTCTCGACCCCCTCGGTTATCGTAAGGCAGAGTTTTTTCTGAAAGATTTTGCCTGCTCGTCGGGGTTTTCTTTTTTGCCACTTTTGTCGGCGACGTCTTCAATTGTATTTAAGACTTGTACTTCCATTGTTAAAGTAGTTTAGTGATGTACTTTTAATTTATAAATTTTGTAATGCTTATTCTGTGATACGATACTTAAATAAGATATTTGGATGTGATATTTTGATATATTAATGAGCTACTTTTATACAAAGATTTTGCTTCGACGTTGAAAATAAATGTATTAAATTTATATTTTAGTCATTATTCACATTTAGAAATAGCATTTATTTTCCCCATCCCGTCCCATTTCTTTGTTGGTTTCTTTGTCAGATGGCACGCAAGATTTTAATTTAATTACAGTGTCGATAAACCAAGGTAGGTAAGGGCGAAAATCACCCAAAACGTTTTAAACTCACGAAATGCACCACTTTCGATTAACGTTATAACTCTTATCACGGAAACTCAGTTTCCAAGCGCGGTTAAGTTAACCAGAAGCGGTGCCAATCGTTTGCTCAGAAGGTAAAGTAACTAAATAAAAGTAGCACCGTCGCTCTCACTCAAACCCTCAGCAGACTCAAACCCTTTGAGTTAGAGCGGCCCCGAATACTTATTACGCTTTATTGATAAACTTTATGTTAGTTCCAGGACATGAAGAGGATTGGTAAGTGTCTTCAAATCATAATTGATGTCTATGTATTGGGAACATGTCCTTCCAAAATTAATGCATTGTGGACCCATTCCGAACCATCACTACACCATATTCATATACGTATCTTGCAGTGCAGCAATGGTCACTTGATGTGTGCTGGATGTTTCACACACCTCCTTGCTGATGCTAGTTTCCGGGACGAAACGTCGACTTGTCCCACGTGCCGCATTGAAATCTGCAAGAGCACGGCGATAAGAAATTTAGCGGTGGAAAACGCCGTCTCCGAACTTCCTACAGAGTGTCAGTTTTGCAACGAGCAGTTTCCTAGAAATTCGCTAGATCGTCACGAAGAAGAGGAATGCGAGGAGAGGTTCATTACGAGAACGTGTGACGGGACCGATTACAAATGCCCTTTTTCTGGTAGAGTTTCAGGATGCAAGTTCCACAGGATAGGGTGCCCGTGGAGGGGACCCTTCCACGAGAAGACCAACCACGAACAGGAATGCGGACATCCCAACAAGAGCGGAACCGACGTTATGAAGGCGTTGCAAGAACTCGACCAGAAGATGGTGGAGGAGAGGAAGCTCTACAAGGCGATTTTCGAATTGTTGGGGTACGCCAAGATCACGTTTAATGGTGCGTTGAATTTGGTGTGAATAAATTAAAAGAAATTGGGATTTGTTTTGACAGATATTCAGCTGAAGCCGTACCGAAACGACGACTGCGTCAATCGATTGACGTATGAATCATCCAGGTTTTCTGTTCTTGGCCACCAATGGCTCGTCCGAGCTAAAGTGACCGATAATCAGAACGAAGCTACTAAGACAGTGGAGAGGAACATCACTTATCAGGTAACTGCGTGACAACCAAGTAATTTTTTCAGTTCTGATAAAAAGCAAGACGTCCTAATTTTTTTGCAGTGTTTATTGCCAAAAGGCTGATAGCAATTGTCGCAGTTGGAAAGTTACAATTAACTGTGACCTTAAGAATTTATTATGACTAATGCTCTTCCTAATACCCCACTTAAAACTAGAACACATATTTATTTACTGTGTAGGAGACATTTACATTTACAAACGTTGACCCATGTTATGAAATTAATAATCAAATATACTTTATCAATATTGACATTAAGACTTAGTCAAAGCAGTTTGCATTATCTTATTTTATAGTTGTTACCAAAAGCAAATATTTATTTTGTTGCACAACTGTAATAAACATAAAACCCCAATCTTACGTTGGACACAATGTCAGTTACGATTTAAATTTTATAAAATAATATACTTCCATACTGTTATTTTAAATTTGTCCAATATATCGTGGTTGCCTTATGACCCCACCAAAATTTTAATGACGTCACGTTAAAAGTTTGCTAAGCAAATCCTATTCAATGTATATTTTAAACTTAATAATTAACGTGTGCAATCAGTGTAAATGTTTTTCTGTTGCTAGTTGGTACTGAAGTCGATAATTTCGACGACCTTGAGTTTAAGTTACATAGTTTTGTGTGGTCCTGTGGGCGACATCAAGGTTCATCCGCGGGTCTACAGATTCGACTTCACTGAACACGAAAATGAAACTCCATATGAATCCTTCCCCTTGCTCGATTCAGCCGAATGTAATCGATTATTAGCAGCGAAAATGATTAATTTCAGGTGAGTTTTCGCCATCTGCGAGGGCGTGTTATCTTTACTGATTTGTTGCAGGTTGGTCATGTTTTTGACGTCTAAGTAAGCTCTTTCCGCTTTATATTTTATGCAGCACTGGAAATTTTATTTTTTTTCGGTACAATCTTCGGAATTCATTTTTTCCATACATATTTGTATGTTTTTTTGAGATTATTTTAACGAACGAGATCTCTGTAGACTTAGGATTTTTTATAAGTAGATTTTATTTATATGAATTTTTGTGTGTTTTCAGTGATATAGATATTTTTATTTTATGTAATTTTTATGTTACCAATATTTGTGTTTTGTCATTTTTGTAGTTTTGTTTAAGAGGAAGATTAGTATTGTGTTTTCTCGAAAATTGTGAGATTTGATTATGAGCTTTATTATCATTGTCATCAATATTTTAAAGGTAGTGTAGGAGAAATTAATTTATATATCCATAATTGTATGAAAGGGATATCGGTAAATTATAAATGAATGTTTGAAAACGGTCTTTTTATGATTCCGACCCTTTTTGACACTGACAGGTGATGGACTAACAGTACGGTGACATGGGTCAGTTCTGCATACCTAACTTTGATTAGTTTCATTTTCGATCTTACGATACGTGCACATGTTGCAAAGAATTAAAGAAAACTTGAATTAACCAAATATGGACTATAATTACCACCGGATTTACAACTGTCCTATTAGACACTATAGGTACTCCTGTGTTACCAACCTGAGGCCATTTTTTATTGATCACACCTTGTACCAAGTGACTTCTAACGTTAGTGATTTTTTATCAGGTTGGCAACATATTTAAAATTTTATGAAAACTGACAACTGTGAACGGACATGTTAACACTGCTGCCAACAATTTAGAATTGCCAACCCAAAAAATTGTTGATTCCTACAAAAATTTATCATTTTAGACATGTTTTAAGTTTCTTGTTGCGAAATAAGTCTACACATGTTAAGAAAAAAAAGGCAAAATGTAGCCCCGCCCACCCGCCCTATCTCAATTGTGATGATTTTTTTTATTCGTCGTGAGCCAAGAAGGAGGAGCTTAACTGCAAAATCCTTATTTCTCTACGAAAAATTTAAACCATGTTTTTGAGTATCGTGTTGTTCAAAGAATACTACGTGTATTAGGAAAAAAATAAAGCCAAAGATTAGGCTCCACCCATACACACCCCGATCTCAATTCTCAATCGTGATGAATTTTTCATTCGTTGTCAGATCGAGGGGTGGGGCTTAGTTACAAGAATTTACCATTTTAAACATGTTTTAAGTTTCTTCTTCCGACAAGATGATTTCCTATATTAAGATATAAAGTAAAATATAACCCCGCCCACCCACCCTATCTCAATTGTAATGATTTTTTTTTAATCGTCGAGAGCCAAAGAACAGCAGAATTGAATTGCAAAATCCTTATTATTTCTCTACAAAAAAATTACCATTTTAAAAATGTTTTTAGTTTCTGGGAATAAAAAAATCACAGTTGAGATGGGGTGGGTGGGGTTTATGTTTTGCCTTTTTTTCTTAATATACATTGTATTCTTTGAACAACACGATACTCAAAAACATGTTTTTAATTTCGTGGAAAGAAATAAGTATTTTGCAGTTAAGCTTCGCCCCCTTGGTTCACGGCGAATAAAAAAATTCATCAATAGGGCGGGTGGGCGGGCTTACATTTTGCCTTTTTTGTTTGAATATGTGCAGACTTCTTTTTACAACATGAAACTTAAAACATGTTTAAAATGGAAAATTTGTATAAGAAAACATCGATTTTATAAATAGGCTTCGCCCCAAAATTGCAAAATCTATATTCCTTCCAAAAATGTACCATTTTAACCATGTTCTAAATTTCTTGTTGTGAAAAGATGGCTGTGTATACTAAGAAAAAAAAAAGGCAAAATATAAGCCCCGCCCACCCACCCTATCTCAATTGTGATGATTTTTTTTATTCGTCGTGAGCCAAGAAGGAGGAGCTCAACTGCAAAATCCTTATTTCTCTACGAGAAATTAAAACCGTGTTTTTGAGTGTCTTGTTGTTCAAAGAATACTACGTGTATTATGAAAAAAATAAAGCCAAAGATTAGGCTCCACCCATACACACTCCGATCTCAATTCTCCATCGTGATGAATTTTTCATTCGTTGTCAGATCGAGGGGCGGGGCTTAATTGCAAAATCCATATTTGTCTACAAGAATTTACCATTTTAAACATGTTTTAAGTTTCTTGTTCCGAAAAGATGACTTCCTATATTAAGAAAAAAGACAAAATATAACCCCGCCCACCCGCCCCATCTCAATTCTGATGATTTTTTCTTTATTCGTCGTGACCCAAGAAAGCGGAGTTTAACTGCAAAAACCTTATTTTTCTACGAGAAATTAAAAACATATTTTTGAGTATCGTGTCGTTCAAAGAATACTACGTGTATTAGGAAAAAAATAAAGCCAAAGATTAGGCTCCACCCATACACACCCCGATCTCAATTCTCAATTATGATGAATTTTTCATTCCTTGTCAGATCGAGGGGCGGGGATTAATTGCAAGATCCATATTTGTCTACAAGAATTTACAATTTTAAACATATTTTAAGTTTATTGTTCTGATAAGACGACTACGTATATTAAGAAAAAAGGAAAATATAAGCCCCGCCCACCCACCCTGTCTCGATTGTGATTTTTTTTTTTAATCGTCGAGAGCCAAAGAGCGGAACCGAATTGCAAAATTCTTATTATTTCTCTAAAAAAAATTATCATTTTAAAAATGTTTTTAGTATCTATGAATAAAAAAATCATCACAATTGAGATGGGGTGGGTGGGCGGGGTTTTATATTTTGCCTGTTTTTCTTAAGATACATTGTATTCTTTGAACAACACGATACTCAAAAACATGTTTTTAATTTCGTGTAAAGAAATAAGTACTTTGCAGTTAAGCTTTGCCCCCTTGGTTCACGGCGAATAAAAAAAGTCATCACAATTGCGATAGGGCGGGTGGGCGGGCTTACATTTTGCCATTTTGTTTTAATATGTGCAGACTTCTTATTACAACATGAAACTTAAAACATGTTTAAAATGGAAAATTTGTATAAGGAAACATCGATTTTACAAATAGGCTTCGCCCCATAATTGCAAAATCTATATTCCTTTCAAAAATGAACCATGTTCTAAGTTTCTTGTTGTGAAAAGACGGCTGTGTATATTAAGAAAAAAAAGGCAAAATATAAGCCCCGCCCACCCACCCTATCCCAATTCTGATGATTTTTTTTCATTATTCTTCGTTACCCAAGAAGGCGGAGCTTAACTACAAAATCCATATTTCTCTACGGAAAATTAAAAACATGTTTTTGAGTATCGTGTTGTTCAAAGAACACTACGTATATTAGGAGAAATAAAGACAAAGATTAGAAGCCACCCATACCCACCCCGATTTCAATTCTCAATTGTGATGAATTTTTCATTCGTTGTCAGATCGAGGGCGGGGCTTAATTGCAAGATCCATATTTGTCTACAAGAATTTACCATTTAAAACATGTTTTAAGGTTCTTGTTCGGAAAAGACGACTACGTATATTAAGAAAAACGGCCAAATATAAGCCCCGCCCACCCACCCTGTCTCAATTGTGATGATTTTTTTCATTATTTGTCGTGACCCAAAAAGGCGGAGCTTAACTACAAAATCCTTATTTCTCTACGGAAAATTAAAAACATGTTTTTGAGTATCGTGTTTTTCAAAGAAGACTACGGGTATTAAGAAAAATAAAGACAAAGATTAGACTCCACCCACACCCACCCCGATCTGAATTCTCAATTGTGATGAATTTTTCATTCCTTGTCAGATCAAGAGGCGGGGCTTAAATGCAAGATCCATATTTGTTTACAAGAATTTACCATTTTAAACATGTTTTAAGTTTCTTGTTCGAAAAAGACGATTACGTATATTAAGAAAAACAGCAAATATAAGCCCCGCCCACCCACCCTGTCTCAATTGTGATGATTTTTTTTTTTAATCGTCGAGAGCCAAAGGAGCGAAATTTAACTGCAAAATCCTTACTATTTCTCCATAAGAAATTGCCCTGTAAGACACATTTTTGAGTATCGTGTTATTAAAAAAAAACTAAGACACGATTTACAGAAAGCGAAGTTAAAGTTATTTCGGGATTAACTTTTAACTGAGGTCCGTTGCGAGGCAACGCGGATATTTTAACCAATCACGGACTCATATTCCACATTTTAATTCTCTGTTAAACTAATCGGGGATTAAATATTTAATTCGCTGTTCTATAAACCGGCCCTAAGTATGTTAAAAAAAATTAAGCCCCACCCATACCTGCCCTGACCCAAATATGTAGTAATGAAGTTTTCATTCGTTGGCAAACGTAAGGGCGGAGCCTAAATGCAAAATCCATATTTTCTTACAAAAATTTACCATTTTAAACGCGTTTTAAATTTCTGATAATTAAAAAAATCATCACAATTGAGATAGGGTGGGTGGGCGGGGTTTATACTTTGTCTTTTTTTATTAATATATTTAGTATTTTTTGAACAACACGATACTCAAAAACATGTTTATAATTTCGTGTAAAGAAATAAGTATTTTGCAGTTAAGCTCCGCCCTCTTGGTTCACAGCGAATAAAAAAAATCATCACAATTGAGACAGGGCGGGTGGGCGGGCTTAAATTTTGCCTTTTGATTTTAATGTATGCAGACGTCTTTTCACAACATGAAGTTTAAAATGTAGAATTTGTATAAGGAAATATCGATTTTGCAAATAGGCTTCGCCCCAAATTGCAAAATCCGTATTTTCTTTCAAAAATGTACCTTTTAACCATGTTCTAAGTTTCTTGTTGTGAAAAGATGGCTACGAATATTTAAAAAAAAGGCAAAATATAAGGCCCGCGCACCCGCCCTATCTCAATTCTGGCGATTTTTTTCATTCGTCGTAAGCCGAGGGGCGGAGCTTAATTGTAAAGTCCTTATTTTTCTATGAGAAATTACTATATGGAATATATTCTTAAGTAATCTTGTTATAGTTACAAAGAAAACTAATGTATTAAAAGAGAAGCCCCACCCATCCGTCTCGATCTCAAACGTGATGAATTTTTCATTCGTTGTCAGACCAAGGGGCGGAGCGTAATTGCAAAATCGATATTTCCCTATACAAATTTACCATTTTATGTTCATGCTTTAAGTTTCTTGTTGTGAAAAGCTGACTACACATATTAAAAGAACACTTGGTATTTAGCATGTGGAGTTTTAAGGACTGTTTTTGCTAGAAATAACCACAGGAAGAGTAAAATAGTGAATCGTTTTTGCAAAAATATAATATGGAAAGGTGAGGCAAGATGGAGAATTTAAGCTATAATAAAATACAAATGAGATAAACAAAAATCTGGTATTGAATTTCCAAATAAACGCCAAATATTGTAATAAAGTAAAGATGGAAATTCTTAATGTCTTTGTTTTTGGTGGAGCAAAAAATATGATTGCATGTTTTGAAACTTCTGGAATCAATTGGAGTCTATAAGTACACATTTTTAAACATTCTATTGTTGTAGTGGATTTTATTGTTCTATTATATTACTAAGAAATTTCACGAATTAGATTACCATTGTCTCTGTAATTAGGAACTACGAATAGTATTAATTTTTTGATAGAGCTGTATTTTTTTTAACTTCGTCTAAGGATAGAATCTAGAATATTTTGATGGTATTCGTAAGATTAAAAGAGCCTTTTTAAATTGTAGGAAATAATTACTTAGACAGGTTTCTGCTGAAATAAACCATAATTTGTGGCAAAATCGTAGAGTGCTAATAATGATTATGACTTTATACTTAAGTTGTTTCTCGAACTTAACCAAAAAATATTGTCTTGGTTATCTGTATTATTATTTAGAAAGGTTAATTTAACTTGATGCGAGACAATAAGTAAGATTTGTTGATTTGGTTAGTCTAGGTAAAATACTAACCTAAAAGATATAAATATATTAGGAGCAACCACAAAGTTTCTATTGAAAACTTCTAATGTCACTTTTTAGGTTCTTCGATAACGGAATTGAGTTTTGAGACAATTTTATCTGGGTTTCATAAAACCAAGAAAATTTTCCAGGGAACAGCATTTCATCTCAATTGATCCGAGCAAGAAAACTTATAAAAGAAAGCCTATTTTGGTCTGTCACAAACTTTATTGTAGTCCCTATGCTATGCTAAGATAATTGAAAAAAGACATCTCTGTGTTCGCAAAATAATTTTTCAAACATTTAGGAAGTGGTATTTGCTGAAAAAACCTTTTTGTGTAAAATCGTGTTGTATATTTAAGAGTTACGGTCGTTTTAGCCGTGCATGGCTTTATATTCTAAACCCCTTTGCTAGAATTCCACCGTACGCCAGTGGATTTAGCGTCACCGAAACCATGGCAACCGCTCCCTTGTGCGCCTGTGACATCTATCAGCTGATCGAGCAACCTCTGGTCGGTGGCGCTGTACCAACCATGCGCTCTAAATCCCCTGAAACAAGAAGGGAAAGGGAGTTTAGAAATGGCCGCCGTGAGTAATGGTCGAAGTGCGATGGATCCCCAACCAGAAACGCAAAATGTCGCGGTGGACCGTTTAAAGAGACTTTACCCCGCCGTGAACGAGGAAAAGTCGCCGTTGCCCCGCGCCTGGAGCCCCAAGGAAAAGTACAACTACATCGGACTGTCCCAGAACAATTTGCGCGTTCACTACAAAGGTAAGTTCCTTTCAAGGTTCGGTTCGGGAACTAAAACGGTTTGTTACGCAGCGGATTTTTCTCGGGTGCGTCGGGCTCTCGCGGGGCTCCGGCGGCGGCCGCGGCCCCCTTGAGCGGGTGTCATCGACCGAGCGCTCTTCGGCGGTCTCGTCCGCGGTGCAAACAAAGAAATCAGCTGATCGTGACACGGGGTGAGCTGGGTTTATTTCTCGGGGCGCAACGGTGCGTGAGGGCCCCGCGCATTTGCGTCAGATTGTGGTCGGGTTGGACGACGGCTGCCTCCCCGACAGGGGCCATTTTCGACCGTTTCTGCACGTCATGATTTCTAGTGTGGATTGATCGCGAAAATATGCCCGATTTTCCGCGATTGTTGTCAGGGGAAATCGACTCCAATTAATACATTTATAGCTGTTGTTGTCGTGGCGAGTGCTGTTGACGTCTTTATCAGTTTCACCATTCTTTCGTGTTGTTGCATGCATGCCACTTGGGCTAATCGTTCCTGATTAATTAACATAAACAATGGATAAATCAAGTTTTGGTGGACCACCTCGTACCGACATAACCTCATTTTTTATTGTCATTTCGAATGACACTGAAGTCCGGAACAAGGGCATACGATGCAAAAGGTGGATCATTTCGAATTTTCATTATCGTCCTTTTTTTAATTTTACGCAATTGACAGATTGACGGTAACTGACCAATGAAATAATACGAAAGTTCTTTTATCTCTCCTATATTGTAAGAAACTGCCTGCGTATACAGGGTGTTGTATCTAAAAAGTGCAAATTTACAAGATTGTTTTATCCAGTTTCTTACGACAAGTGAAGTGGAATATCAGGGACAGTACTAAGGTTTTTGTTTTGGTGTTTTTACAGGGACTGGCGAATTTTAAGGTTGAAATGTATAATTTCGCAAAGTACAGGCAAAATACCAGTTGGTTACTTAAAACAATCGAGGCGACGTCATCAGATTGTTGGTGGGGATGATCCACATTTTTTTTCTAGACGATGTTCCCAAAACAGACTGTAGTTTCGGATATTCCGTCTTCCAATTAGTTAAAAATATTACGAAATCTTGATGAAAAACTGAAATTGGACCCGTTCTTCGCTTGCAAGGTTTAGGCAGGTGCAATTTTGGAGTTTTTTTATTTTAATTATTTAAAATAATTTTGAGAAATACCCACACGTTGGGGGAATTTCGTTTTTTCTCAACTTTTTGCACCAGAAATAATGTAGATGTGTGTAAGCTACTCATCTTTACATCCTATTTATAGTATGACTATTTTAAGTATGTTCATGCCATTTTCTTTGTGCTTTCCACATCGCAGAAGTCACGTGCGTCAATGATCAGATATACTACTCTATTTTTTTTCCATAGCAACTTAATTGTTACTCCCTAAAAATTTTAAAAGTTTCACAATGTGTGGTCGCTGGATTTGGTGTTTACACTCACAATTGTTGCATGAATTTACGTTAATTAAAAATAACGTGAGTTTGAGTAATATCATTTTTACTTAATTACCGAAGTCATGTACAGGATGTCCTTGCAACATTCTTTCCACCTAAGACGGCGTAATCGCTCACCGCAAAAATATGTTCAGCACCCTACTCTTATCTATAAAAGTTAATTTATTTTTTTATTGGCGCATGTATACACTTGTTACGTTTTACTAGTGCTCGTAGCTTATTGTGATTTAAATGACGAATAGCGAAGTCCCAAAACAGTTCATTGTTAAAAACCTTGTCTCGTCCGTTGTCCTCCACTTTATTAATAGCACAATGGAGGAGCGCACCAATATAATTAAAAACGATTATCAACATCGCAAAAACGTGATATTAACATATATATCTTAACATTTGCCAAGGAAACCAAGGACTGCCTAATTTTATGTATTCGTCCAATTTTAAATATGACACAGAAAGGATTTTTTTAAGAAAAGTTGCCGCTGTTGGCTATTCGTCTCGAATTCGAGTGCTGAAAGTTGCTTCGGGTGGTTATTGTCTGGCGTGACGTCGACGGTGTTTGTTTTGAAATGAGAAGGACTTGCAGATTTGCAATCACCGGTAAAGGACGTGTTATGAAAGGTTATTTTTTTAAGATTGTCAATAAGAATTTACCTGGTTATTTATGATTTTTTTTTGTTTTACTATATTTAGTGATGATGATTTTTTGGACCTTGACACTTGCTACACATTTGCGTTTAGGAAAGTATTATTTCTAAATAACTTTTAGCCAGGTCAAGGTTGCATGGCGGGAGTTTGTTTTGCAGACTGACAACAGCTGAAGCTTTTTTTCCATATAATGTAATTAGAGGAGAAAAGGGTCACAAAAATTGTTTATCATACTTTTGTCTTGTTCTCTTGGCTAAAAAAATGAAATGAAGTGTAGATCTTCCGGGTCATACAATTACTTATCATAACATTTTCCCACATCGCTTTCGAAATGGCGTATAGTGCATTCAGTAAGATTGTGCATTGTCAAGCACACAGTAGTGGCCCTCCTTTTCGGGAAAAAACGAAGCACAGTCATTCATAATGTTAATGCAGCGGGTTTAATTTGCTTGTTATTTTTCTTTCTGAAAAGCTAAAGAAATGAGTTGGTGTAATTGAGAACGTGTTTTAAATAGACGTTAGACGAATAAGTGACAAGACCGTTGGCAAAGTCTGTAAATTATTTGCGGTTTTACGTCTTTTATAAACACTGTAATCAGAATTGTGAGGTTAAAGGTTTTTTTGTGATTTCTGAGTCACGTTAGAATTTAATACCCACGCACCACCACCTTTATCCCTTACTCTGATGACTAATAATAATTCTTATTTTGCCTTTGTTAGTAATACGGAGAAAACGTTAAAAACCCGCATGTTTTTTGTATTACGTTTTCCAATCCCGCTTTCACGATTTTCAAAAAAAAAAAAAATACGAATGCTATAACGAGAACTATGTTATTAAATGGAATTGCAAGATATTCATTTTGCTGGTCAGAGAACAGATGCATTAGGCTTGGGATGAAGATTCTACCGTTCCTGTTGGCTAGAAAACCCGTGTCGCGAGTTGGACACCAATTCAATTTTACATTCAGTTTGCTTAAAAAACAAATATTTTTAAACGTATTTGCACGTTTTTACTTCCCGAGCGTAAGCGCCTACAGTACGAGGAAATAGGTCTCCCATTTCCGTCTGTCTGTCTGTCCGTCTGTCTGCCGTCTTGGATTTTTATTAGAGAATCTCCGGAAGTACTGGGCCAATTGTTGTCAAATTTTGTATGTATATTAGGAATATCATATAGATGCTAAAACGCTCACCAAAATTTGTTGGTTAGTTAGTTTATGACTCCGTGTTGAGTTTTTACCTCAAACATCCAGATTTTTGGAAAAGGAGTCAAAATTATAAAACAACATTTTGCAATTTAATTTTGAATCTGCACACCGAATGCCTTGAAATCTTGTAGATGTTTTAAAGTTATCATAAAGCATGGTAAATTTTTTATCAAAATGTACTTGCTCATCCCCCCTAAAAAATTGATGACGTTACTTCAAATTTTGCTAAATCTTAACTGCCAAATATGAGTTTTTACTTGTAATTTATCATTGTATTCATATTTTTTAGTATTGCTTGTTTGCTTATACAGGGTGTCTCAAAAAATTAATGACACTCAATTTATTTTCCAGTTTTTCGATTTGCAATTTTTTGAGTTTTCATGTTAAAAATTTTCAATTTTTCAACTCGTGATTTTTTCAATTTGTATGTTTTTCAATTTTTCGGATTTTTATTTTCGTTGTTTTTTCATTTATTCGATTTTTCAGTGTTTTGATTTTATGTTTTTGTTTTTTCAATTGTTCATTTTTAAATTTTTCCGTTTTTCGGTTTTCCGATTTTTGGATGTTTCAGTTTTCAGAATTTCTCACTTTTTGAATTTTTCAATTTTCGATTTTTTAATTTTTTTTTGCAAAGATACGGCTGATTTTGGAAAATCATACATCCTCTAAGAAGATAGAGGGCGGGTGGGCGGGCCTGGTACATGCTAAGATAAAACTAATTTTGGCAGATCACATAACCTCCAAGAAAATAGAGGGGGGGTGGGCGGGGCTAGTACTTGCCAAAATAAGATTGAATAATATTAAGAGTGGTCACTGGAATGAAGAGGGGGTCGGTGAAATTCTTTAGAAAAACCTAAACTCAGCTCCTCTTGTCTCCATTTCAGTGACTTTTTTTATTTATTGTTAAATGTGAATTGATTTCTATTTTAACAGGCGGTAGAATCTAAAATTTAAAACAAAGTAAAAAGGGGGCCCCTCCCACCCACGTTTATTCCGTTTTAATAATTCATTCTTTTTGGCTTTGAAGAAAGAATTTCACTAGTTTTCAATTTTTAATTATTCATTTTTTCGATTTTTCAATTTTAAAATTATAAAATCCAAAGAAATTATGAAAAAATAAAGGAATTGTAAGAAGGAAAAATTGTGATATGAAATCGAGAAAATGAAAATAAAAAAATTCAAGATATATGTAAAACAAAAATCAAGAACTTGAAAAATTGAGAAAATGAAAAATTGTAAAATCTAATAATTGAAAAACTGAAAATGACAGAAAAGGAAAAACGAAAAATGTTTGCAAAATAATTTTGAATCTGCAAAACCGAATGCTTTGAAATCTTGAAAATCTTTTAAAATTATCATAAGCATGGTAACTTTTTGATCAAAATGTATTTATTTGGTCATCCTCCCTGTGATTTATCCCTACATTAATACTTTTTAGATTTGCTTATACGGGATGTCTCAAAAAAATTAATGACTGAGTCAATATATTATATTGATTAAATCAAGGACTACAAAACTGAATACTTTGAAATCTTGCAGATGTTTTAAAGTTATTGTAAGCATGTAACCAAATATATCCGTTTATTCCCCCCAAGAAATTGATGACGTCATCTCAAAATTTTGACGAATAAACTTTACACAAAATGTGCAAAATATGATGCGTTTTTACTTGTGATTTATCATT